CAGCTGTCTAAGGAGAGGTTGAGAGTGGATAATTTTTCCTCTTCCTCTCAGGTTTCGGCAAAGTCTAATAAAGAATTAAGAATAGATTGCTTATTAGCGATTAATTCTTCGCGGTTGGCTTGCTTGGCGGTTTGTTCCTTTTGTTTTATTAAAACTTTCTGTTCTCCACTGAGAAATTTAGTTTTTAATGGTAAATAAGTATCCTTAACTTCCCCAAAGTCTAAATTAGGATTGGGTAGTATTTTTTCATTGATAAAGAAAGTCAGAGCCGAAGACTTTAAGCTCAGAGTTTTCAGCAACTTTAAACTTTCTTCTGAGTATTTATCTTCTTTGATTAACGGGGCTAAGGTTTTCATTAAGTTCTCTTGTTTTTCGTTTAAGGAAAAAGTTTTTAAACCATCGGAGTGAATTACAGCTAATTCTTGTTTCTGTTCCTCGGTTAAATTAACTTTCTCCACGGCAAATTTTAGTAAATCATTTTTCTGTTCGGCTGTTACTTGTCAATGGGAAGCATCAAAGAAGCGAATGCCGGCTTTTTCTAAACTTTCCCTTTGTTCAGAGGTTAGTTCCAGACTAGTAATTAGTAGACGGAGAATATTTTCTTTTTCTTTAATGGTTAAACCAAACTGGGCTTTTTCTTGGTAGAGAGTATGATTTAATTCGACAAAGTTTTGTTTCTTTTCAGCCGTGTTCAGACCTAAGTTATTTAGTCCCGAATTAATTAAGCCTAATTTTAGGGGTTGACTGAATTCCGGAAAGTTCTCGCGGATTTCTTTTTGCTCTTCCTGAGTGAGATATTGGGCTTGACTAGCCAGTGCGGCAAATTGTTCGACCGTGAGGTATAATTGGCTTAAAAAGTTTTGTTCTTCACTAGTCAGAGCCGGTAATTTCTCTAATTTGGCTAATAAAGTTTTGGTAGTTTGGGCTTTGCTTTCTCCTTGGAGTATTTTCTCAGCTTTGGCTAATTCTTGTAAAAGTAGGGATTTGTTTTCAAATTCGGGATATCTTTGTTTAATTTTACTTCAAGTCATCCGAGTAGTGGCTAAATTACCCTGAACTTGGCTCAAATTCTCTTTTAAAATTTTTTCTATTTCGGCTGCCTGAGCCAGAGTTTCCGCTTGCTTTTTCATCTCTTCCTCTTTTTTAACTGCTTCCTTAGCGGCTTCTTCCTTGGCCAAAATAACGGTCTTTAAGTTGGCTAACTCTTGGGCTTTAATTTGGGCTGATTGGTCAGAGTAAAGATTGTAATCACTTTGCTTTATTTTTTCGGTTCAAGTCTGAGGAGTAGGAACAGCCGACCTTTGCTGCACTTGCTGCCATTCTTCCTGATTGACCTGAAATTCTTGGCGTAATTGCTCGATTTGCTGCTGATAAACCTTTTCCGCAGCCTGTTTGCCCCCTAATCTGGCTCAGTAAGTATAACCATAAATTCCCAAGACTACTGCATTATAACCAATTACTACCGGTCATTTACCTTTGAGGTTTTCCACACTATTATAAGCCATCACATTCCCGATGACATAGCCAATAATTAAGAAATACTTTTCTCATAAGTCATAATATTCCATAATCTGGTCTTTTTTATAGTAAAGAATAGCCAAGATGACATTTAATAAAATTAAGCCAGCCACTCCATTTTTCTTATAAACGACATACTCGATAAGAAAAATAATCAAAAAGAGCATGAACTTAGTCATCGATTTTTGCTGGCGGCTTGGGCCACTTCTTGCTGATTTAATTGCTGAGTTAGTTCTTCCAATTTTTTGTCTAATTCTTCTTCTTTGGTTTCTTCCGGTTTCTCCTCTTCTTTTTTATCTTCTTGGAGAGCTTGCTGAGAAAGAGCTTGGATGGCTTGTCATTGTTGGACTATTTCTTGCTGCTTATCTTCGGTTGTTTCGGCTTCCAATTTCTCCATTTGTTCTTCGAATTCTTGTTTAACTTGTAAAGATTGTAATTCTTCCTGGGCTTGGGTTAGTTCTTTTTGGGCTTGTTTAGTATCTTCCTGGGCTTCCTGGACTAATTGCTGATTAGTTTTAGTGGGTTGGGATTGAGCCTTTTGCTGGGCTTGTTTTTCGGATTGTTTTTGTCGCTCTAAGGCTTTTTTCTTAATTTTGACTTTACTTTCAGCAGAGATGACTTGGAGATTATAAGATACTGAGGGCTTAGGTGGGGGAGATGCTGAGGGCGGAGCATTTTCCACCGTATCTAATTCTTGCTTGATTTCGGCTTGAATGGCTTGGAGTTGTTCAAGCACTTTTCTTTGAGCGGTATTTATTTCTTCCAAAACTTGCTGGGCGGCTTCGGTTGGTGAGGCAATTTCTTCTTCTCCCTCTTGTTCTTCTGATTTCACTTTTTCCACTTGACTTTCTTTTTTCTCGGCTTCTTCGGATAATAAGTGAGCCGTTTCGTGTTCTCCTTTTAAGCGGGTGGACCAGCCTCATTCTTTTAATTGTTCGGGGCTGAATTGCTTGGCTCAGGAGGAATTAGGATTTAAAGGCATATCTTCGGCTCCTTTTAGTTCCGTTTCCGTGCCTTTGGTAATACCAACTAATCATTCTTTATCTTTATTTAAGCGAACTAAGTTTTTAGTTTCTTTTAAGAGATTCAAAGTAGCTAATAACTTGGCTTCTTCGGCTTTGAGTTCGAGAGACTTTTGGATTTTGTTTATTTTAGCATCCTCCGCGGAAGTGTCTAATAATTGTTGAGTTTTGATGATTTGCTCCAAGCGTTCATTTTCTCGTTTGGCTTCCTGCCGAACCTTTTCGGTTGTTTCTTTATTTTTTTGAACTTGGTCTTCCAAATTTTCCAAGTCTTCCCGCATGTTTTTCATATCTTGGGATAATTTATCTACTTTTTGATTAGCCTGTTGGGCGATAGTAAGAGTTTGTGATGTTCTTTGTTCTAATTCAGTGGAGAGTTTATCCATTCTCAGGTGGACTTCTTCTTGGATGTCTTCCATTTGCTGGGACACTAGGGTTAGTTTTCTTTGCTGAGCGAATAAGAGGTCGTTGGTTTCTTGTAAGTTTTCGTAGATTTCTTGATTGAGGATATTTTGCTTTTTTTGTTGGTATTTTACTTCGGCTAAATCTTCCTCGTGTTCAGTAAGAATTTCTTGATTATCTTTCAGTTGAGTGTCCAGGTTTTTTGATTTGGCTTCGAACTCTTCTTTAGCTTCTTCTAAATCAGCTTGGTATTTAGCCTGTTGGGTGCGGAATTTGCTGTCGGTTTCAGCTTGGTAGTCCTCGAAATCTTGTTGGACTTCTTCCATTTTGCGACTAGTTTGGTGTTGATATTTTTGGAAGTCTTCTTGGAGTTCGTCTTTTTCTCGTTGGAGATTGTTGATTTTGGTGTTGGCTTGGCTGATTTTGTCTTTGACTTCTTTGATTTCGGCTTCTCGTTGGCGTTTTTCTTCTTCGATTCTTTTTTTGTTTTCTAAGATTTTCTTTTCTTGTTGTTCGAATTTTTCGTTGACTTCGGATTTAAAGTCGTCTAGTTCTTTTTTTAGTTCGTTTTGGGCTTTAGTTAGTTGCTCAGTTACTTGTTTAATTTGGCTTTCTAGTTCTTGTTTTTGAGCAGCCATGGCCTTTTTTTGGTTTTCTAATTCTCGTTTAGTTTCTCCTTGGGCAGCAGCAATTTTGGCATCTAAGTTTTTGATTTCTTTATCAAACTTTTTTCCTTGTTGTTGAATGGCTCCTTCGAGTTCGGATTTTACTCCCTCAATTTGGCCTTTAAGGGCTTTGCCTTGGGCTTCTAAATCGGCTTTAACATTATTTAATCCGTCTTTTAATGCTCCGACATCTGTGGCAAGTTCCGAAAGTTGGGATTGTATCATAGCGTCTTTTTTTCGATCGGCTCAGAAAGAAAGTCCAGAAAAAACAGAACCAATAACTGGCACGCTGCCAAGGATTTTGCTAGCTGCTTTTAATCCTTCTTCGGCTCAACCAGCAGCAACAACACCGGAAGAAGCAATTGAGCCAACCGTGGTTCCACTTGCTTTCTCGTCTACTCAATCTCATGCACTCTTTGTTGAATTTCAAATTTTTTTCATTGTTAGTAAAATTATTTATAGTTTAGTTATTTGATTGTTTATGGAATATAAGGAAATTAGGTTATTAGAAAAAATAAGGAGGTTAGAAAAGGAAAGGGATAAAAGCAAAAAAAACTTTAATTATAGTTGAAAGGCGATGATTGGGTTTAATTTATTAGCAATTATAGCGATATCTGCTTTGAAGTATGAATATAATACTTCAGTAATTAATTATGTGTTAGTAGCAATAGGAGTTAATGCTTATGTTATCATTTGAGGTCTTTATCACTATAACGATTACAAAAAAAAAAAAAAAACAGTTAGAGAAACTACAAAAAGAACTCTATTTATTAAAAAAAGGCTTAAAAGAGGGAAGGGATTAATTGGCTAATTTTTTCTGATAAAATCAGTAAGTGAGGGCAATGATTATTAAAGTTCAGATGATTGACATAATTTTTAGTTATTTGTTTTTCTTAGACAAGGTAAAAAGGGGAAAGGGAGAAAGTAAGGAGATTAGGTGTGTTTTCTTAATCTAATATTATTTTCTTTTAAGTGAGGTAAAGGATTGATTTGCTTTTTAATCTTAGCTTCTTGATTTTCAAGAATATCTTTTAAGCATTCTTGCTCGTAATCACTTTGTAAATTAAGTCAAAAGTTGGGAGACATGCCAAAGTAAATGCCTAATCTTAAAGATAAGTCGGGAGTAATAACTTTTTTTCCTGAACATACTTCTCTAATTTGTTGGATTGGTATATTAATGTCTTTGGCTAATTGGGCTTGACTAATATTTTTTTCTATCAGCAAATCCTCTTTTAACATTATTCCCGGATGAATAGGTAAAATTTTTTTCATAACACTTAATTAATGTAATTTTAATGATAATCAGTAATCTCTACTTCGTAAGCATTACCATTTTTTCACCAAAAGCAAATGCGATACTGTTTACTAATGCGAATGCTATATTGAC